AGAATCCCCCAGCCAGCTGGCTGGGGGATTCTGGGAGTTGAAGTCCACAGGACTTAAAGTCCCCAAGGTTGAGAAACACTGCTTGAGCGGGTCTGGCCTCTCTGGGCAAAAGCCCCGCAGCCCCTTCCTCCTTTTCGCCCATTCGGTTTACTCTGGAAGACGTTGCTGGGGTCGCCTGCAGCCTGTGCGGGGGTGGGTGGGTGAGGGAGGGAGGGGGCGACGCTTCCTACTCACCCAACAGCCTCCACAGCCGGGCGGGGGTCCAGGCAGGCCGGGCCCAGCAGCCCCTGGAGAGCGGGCCGGGCAGCCGCGGCTGGAAAAGGCAGAAGGCGGCGTGAGCGGAGCCCCCCCCGTGCAACGCCCCCCCACCCTCCGCCTAGCTCGGGCCCTGCCGCCCGCTCACCTGAAGGTCGCCGCTTGGCCTCTGCTCCGCGGGGGCCCGGCTCCAGCGGCGCGCCAGAGCCCCCTGGGGGCCGCCCGGCAGAGGAGCCTGTGGCCGGAGGAGGAGGCCGCCGCGGCCCCCGCGCCGGAGCAACAGCAACAGCAGCGAGGCGGCGCCCGTCATCCCCGGGCAGGCAGGCCGCGCGACGGGAAGGCGGCGGCCATCTAGGAAGCGGGCAGCCCGGCCTCAAGATGGCCGCCGCCGCCGCCGCCCTGCAGGGAGACCCCGTGCTGCCACCTAGCGGGGGGAGAGTCTCGGTTTTAGGGGTGGCGGCACGAAGGGGCTGGCCGGGCACCATGGGTCTTGTGGTGCCGCAGCCCCACTCCCCGCCACTCCGCCCTCTGGGCCTGCAAACGGGCAGGGGCGGCCCTCAGGGGCAACGCTTCGCTTTCCTTTCCAGGCCTGGAGCTGCCGGGTGATGGAAGGACAAGACAGGCATCCCCACCCCCGCCGTCCATGGCGCGGAGGGCCCAGCGAATGGTGGGGAAAGGAGGCCCCGGAGGCCCCCAAGCGCGGGTGGAAGCCAGCCCAAGGGCGCTGCACCCGTTGGGTTGTAGGGTTTGGGCAGGCCTGGTTGCAGAACTGGAAGCATCACAATAGAACAGTGTTTCTCAGCGAATGCTGGCTGGGGAATTCTGGGAGTTGAAGTCCAGACATCTTCGCATGGCCAAGATTGAGCCAAGGGATTCTGGGAGATGAAGTCCAAGACCTCTTCAAACTGCCAAGGCTGAGTTGCCTGGGGAATCGTGGGAGTTGAAGTCTATAACATTGCCAAAATTGACCAGCTATGGCAGTGTTTCTCAACCTTGGCCACTTGAAGGTGTCCGGACTTCAACTCCCAGAATTCCCCAGCCAGCATTCGCTGGCTGGGGAATTCTGGGAGTTGAAGTCCGGACGTCTTCAAGTTGCCAAGGTTGAGAAACACTGCAATAGAAGGCCCGGAAACAACTCGCTAGTGAAGAGGAATTAGGACATGCCAAGAGAGAGGATAGCATCACAGACAGCAGAATCAAATAGGGAAGTGGGAAATTTCAGCACCGTGGCCAAAAGTGTATTTATTCTGGTTCCAGAAGTGGGTGTGGTGCTTTGCATGTGGACGCACCAGGGTTATTAAAAGGATGCTTGCCGGTAATTCAGAGACTCTGAATTTGCACACACCTTTAAGTCCTGTGGGTTCCTTCCCTTCATAAAAAGGCCCGGGAGTCAAGTTGCAGAAGAGAATTTGCTCAGTTGGATAAGCAGGAGATATTTAATAGTTGAGCAACAGATTCAATGCAGTGTGGTTAGAAAATAAAGTTAGTTTAGGCAGAAATTGATTGATTGATTGATTGATTACATTTATATGCCGCCCTTTTCCCCCGAAGTGGACTCAGGGCGGCTCACAATTCAATCAGGGAAGGAGGTACAGACAGGGGGATAAAAAGACGAGACATAACAATACAAAATTTAAAAACACACAACAACCATACCATTCGAGAAGGGGGGCAAAAACTCTTTAGCCCCAGGCCTGTCGGAATAGCCAGGTTTTAAGGGCTTTGCGGAAGGCCTGGAGGGTGGTGAGGGTTCGAATCTCCACGGGGAGCAGAGGGTCGGAGCAGCCACAGAGAAGGCTCTCCTCCGGGTAGTCGCCAGTCGGCATTTTCCGGCGGATGGAATTCGGAGGAGGCCTAATCTGTGGGATCTGATCGGTCTATTGGAGGTAATTGGCAGCAGGCGTCTCTCAAGTACCCAGGTCCAATACCATGAAGGGCTTTATAAGTGACGACTAGTGCCTTGAAGCGTATCCGAAGATCAATAGGCAGCCAGTGCAGCTCGCGGAGGATAGGTGTTACGTGGGTGAACCGAGGTGCACCCACAATCGCTCGCGCGGCTGCATTCTGAACAAGAAATAATGTTAATGCTGTGTAACATTTTGTTTGAAGATCAGATTTGTAATGCTCGAGAGGCTTTCACAATTTCATTGAATAGAAACTTCACTGCTCTTCCCTAAATAAATGGTTCCCTTCTCCAACAACTTCCAAACAACAACAAACTTGCAAAACTTTCCCCTATGTTAATATCCCAGTAATCAACTTTGTGACAGACACAACCAGGATGTTAACTGGTTTCCTCTGGGAGACACGAGTAAACTTGTGACCAAACCGAGAGCCTACTGCATAATCTACATGCCTATTTAGATAACTGGTCCTTAACTGAGAAACATTTGATGTATAGACATAAAATTCAACTAGATGGCTTTATTGACAGAAGTGACATTTTGAAAGTGATTGTGGAGGAAGTGGGCCAGGAGAGAAAAAATATCTGTCACTTGCATTGATAGGCATCGGCTTCTTATGGTGAAATACTGTAAATGGCTGCCTTGATTGGAGCTCCGTATGCTGGAAGGTTGAAGCATGTAAAATTATAAAAGGGTACTCAGCAATGTCTGATTTGGTTCTCATAATGCTTTTTCTCATAATGCTTTTTAACTTATTGTAGGATACAATAAGGATACTTATAATAGATTATTAGAATTACAGGCGTCTCCATTTTGGCTCTGAATCTGAAGTTTAATTGCAGCCATTCAGAGTTAATATATAATAGTACGCATTATCTTCTACTCTTTGAACGCTTGAAATGTAACCTTGGAAAAAAGGTGATTTCATGCAATCCTTTGAGTGGTAATAAAGCTTCCTTTGGGAACACGTCCAACCTCCAGCCATCCCACAGAGCCATGTTCCAGCTATGACATCAGTGGGGGATTTTGGAAGGATTTTTTTTCAAGTTGCTGGAGAATGTTAATAAAAAGAAATAATGGTGATGGGTCAACGCAGTATGAATAAATGCAACGCTGCATACGGTAGGCCATGTAGGACTTATTCTTTTAATTCAAATAATCTTTTAAAAAACTCCTAGATTTTGGGCATGGGATAGAAAGAGTTCAACTTCTGGGGCAACCACCATGTTCTCCACAATTGCTCAAGTAATCTTGGGTCATCAGTGGACAATCTTTTTGTCTTCCGAGTTTATTCTCCCCTCACAGGGAGGAAAAAAACAAGAGAGGGCAGCCCTGGAATTCCTAACCCATAGAAATATATATATTAAACGTTTCAAAGCCTCCTGGGAGTTTAATGTTGGCGTATGAATAGAGCCAGTTTGGTCTATGGGTGAAGGTTAACTGGGTGGTGGGTGGGTGGTGGAGAGTTTCAGTCCTGCCTTAGGCACCAGCCAGCTCTCAACCCAGTCCACCTCACAGGGTTGTTGTGGGGAAATGGGAGCAAGGCTATTAGATATGTTCACGCTTTGGTTTAATTTTGAAAAAAAAATAAAGGCGGGGTATAAATGTTTGGCAGGTGGGCTGCACTTGATGCCAAACGTGTGTGTGTGTCTCTGTCCATCCCCTTATTTTCTAGCACCGGGACTCTCCCAGCAATCCGGAAGAGCCCTCGACGCCCCGCGCTCCCGCTTGGCGGCTCGGCCCGTGCCGGATCCGCCGGAGTTTCGAGGCCAGGTGCAGCCGCTGCTTTGGCGGAGCGCAGGGGAAGCGTCTCCCTGCCCGGGAGGGCTTGTCACCAGAGCCCCGGGCGCAGCCAGGCACTGGCGAGCAGGGGAACAGGGCGGCGCGGAGGCCGCCGCCGGCAGCAGCCGCATTTCCGGCCGGTGTCTCCCGTGCTCGGCCGGGCGGTGCCATCCCGGTGCGGGGCGAGGCGGCCCCTTTGCGGCGATCAGCCCCCCCCCCCCGTCGGTTACCCTGGCAACAGCTGCGCGGGGCAGCGCGGCGCCCCTCACGTGACCTCGGAGGAGACTGGCTAATCCGCCGGACTCCGACCAATCCCAGGGTGCCTCTCTCTCGCGCGCTCTCCCCTCCCCCTCCCCGGGAGAGCCCCTCCTCCGCACGCACTCACGTACGCGCGCGGGCACGCGCCCGCCGGGAAGAGGCCCGAGGGTCCTGGGACACGTCACGCGCGCTCCTGTCAGCGTCCGGGCTCCGCCTCGCCGCCTCGCTCCGTCGCCAGCCAATGGGGAGGGCCGTCTCATCGGGCCAATGGGGAGGGCCGGCTCTGGCGGCGGACGGGGCGGCGGTGCCGTGAGGAAGGAAACGGCGCTGTCGGGCGGCCGAGCGGGCTGGGCGGCGGGGCTTCCGATCGGGCGACCCAGCGAGCCAGCGGCGGCCGGGGAGGCAGCGAGAGCCGCCGGGGAGGCGGACGAGCCATGGAGCGG